TAATTGTAAAAAAGAGACAGAGGAAAAGAAGTAAGAACCAAGCAAGAGAGAATCCTTCACCTACGACAAACTAGTACCACTTTGCCCACATCCCTTTGGCAAGTGTGTGATGAAGTCATATGCTACAAAACAGGGGAACTAAAGCATCTTTCATTCCTGCTCTTGTCCTTCCTGTTCTATGAGTCAGCACCAGAGGCAAATTTAGGAATCAAATTTACCCCCTCGTTCCGTTTCCTGGACTCACAGGCTGCAACAGATAACCAGATTTAGAACACTCCTGAAACATAAATTACATCTTACTTCTTTCCTTCCAGAAATACTTCAGTAACATTTTTTCCCTTTTGCTTCTCCTATTTTTCTCTTTCTCCAACTCTTTTTTTAAAGATTTATTTATTATGTTTATTTGTTTATGTGTATACAATGCCTAAATATGTGCCTGCAGGCCAGAAGAGGGCACCAGATCTCATGATAGATGGTTGTGAACCACCATGTGGGTGCTGGGTATTGAACTCAGGACCTTTGGAAGATCAGCCAGGGCTCTTAACCTCTGAGCCATCTCTCCAGCCCCTCTTTCTCCAACTCCTGCTTCCCACTCTGAATGTTTCAGTCCCAAGCGATGGATTCCATACAGATTGGTTAATATTTGCATTCAGCTTCCAGAGTCATGTCTTTAGGACACAGAGAATTTTCCTGTATAATGCGAGGAAAAGCCTGGAAGAAAGTCGTTGCAGATCTGGATTCAGCTATTTTAGGAGCTCAGGGTGAGGGGTTGACAGCTTTCGTTCCTGTCATGGGGGACTGTACTCACAGCAGTCAAGTGTCTACACAAAAGGAAAGATATCAAGGACCTTTTAAGAAATACCACCTCATTACTTCTAGTATATCACCAGCTATTTTTACATGGAAGAAAAGAAATGCAGCTCTTATTTTTAATGGGAAAAGTTCACGTATGCAATGAACAAAGGGATTGGTGGTAACGAAGTAGAGAGCTGATGTCACGTAGGCACTTGGTCTATTTCTTGCACACAGAATGGTAAACCCAAGTGTGGACTCTGCCTGAGCTCCCGTGTGTTCCACCTCTAACTGCTGCTGAGTTCTGACTCTGCACTCTTTGGAGACTGCTTCTGTTTGGACAAGAATAAAACTCACACTGCATCCTCCTTCATTCTTATGTTCCTCACATGAGAGGAGGCATCTAAAGAGCTTTATGGGATCCCCAGGAACTACAAAATATCCTAAAACAATCAAAATCCTTTCATCTCTAATTGAATCTCTATCTATCTATCTATCTATCTATCTATCTCTGAGACAGAGTCTCACTGTGCAGCTCTGGTTGGCCTAGAACTCACTAGGTAGACCAGGCTGGCCTGCTTCTCACAGATATCTGTCTGTCCCTACCTCTGCCTCTTGAAAGCTGGGATTAAAGGCGTACACCACCACAGCCAGATAAAATTATTTTTATAATTATTATATTTATTTGTGCATATGTGTGTGTCTGTACAAAAAAAAATGTCACCTTGTGTGTGAGAACCCATAAAGTACAGGAAAGGGCTCTGGATCTCTTGGAGTCAGAGTGACAGGTGGTTGTGAGCAGCTTGGTCTGAGTGTTGGGAAACAAACTCGAGTGTTTTGGAAGTATAAGTCGCCTTAAACGCTAAATGATCCCTCTAGTTCTTGTGGATTTCCATTTGTGCAGCGTTCAGGTAAACAGTAATTAATCGCTACTGCTGAGAAGACAGCATGGGTCCTGGAGAAAGGCCCCACATGAAGCCGTGAGCAAGCCGTGTGCCAGTTCCTGCGGAGGGTGTAGTCACGGCTGAGCTCAAGGCAAAGCTCTTTTCTCCCTCATATCTTAGCACCTTTCAAATGTGAGTGTGCACCAGACTCTCCAAATGGCTTCCTAAACATAGCCCGTGAGTTCTAAATTCAGGTTTCTGACTCTGGAAGTCAACATAGAGACTAACAAGTTGCGTTTCTCAAGAATTGGTGCTATTTTCTCTCCAATGGGGAACTTCGACAACCGTCAGCTTTGTCAGGTACAGTTAATCGATAGTTCTAGAGGTCGTGTGGGTGAATTGCCTCCTTGTAGCCAAAAGAGTCTACTGAACCTAATTCTCTTCATATTGACTCAGAAGCCCACAGGGCTGGAACAGAGAACCACGCCCTCCAGAAACTCGCCTACATTTTGGTGGCTGTGGTTTTGCTACATCCAAGTTCCTTGCTCAGCTCTCACTGAAGCTGGGTGCTTTCCTAAATGTCTACATGACATGTTAGAAAAAATTCCAGCCTCCATCTTCTGACTAGAGAGAGTGCTTCAAACACAGGAGAGAATGCAAATTCAAACAAGGTTTCCATGCCTCATCTGTAAGAGAAAAAGTTAGTTGAATCATTACTTTTGCCAGGCGGTGGTGGTACGTGCCTTTAATACTAGCAGTCAGGAGGCAGAGGCAGGCGGATCTCTGTGAGTTTGAGGCCAACTTGGTCTACAAGAGCTAGTTCCAGGACAGGCACTAAAGCTGAAGAGAAACCCTGTCTCAAAAAGAAAAAAAAACTTTTATTTTAAATCAAATAGCCCAATAAAAGAACAAAAACCTAATTTTGTGTCATTACACAGTTAAGAGGAAAGAAAGAGTAACACGGAGGTTCTACCCTTAAAGATGCACAGCTGTAAACAGGTACATTTTATCGTCTCTCTTTTCATGTAACAGGACAAATGGCAGAGCTTTGGGGAAGCTGAGGCAGGATACCACCTTTAATCCTAGCACTCAGGAGGCAGAGGCAAGATCTCGACCAGCCTGGTTCACATAGTGAGCTCCAGGCCAGTCACGGATATATAATGAGACTTTGTCTCAAAAAACAACAACAAAAAAAAAATGTTCCTCTTCAGTTCTTAACAAAAATCTGAATTCATCTATGGCGGAGCGACAGCAGTTGATGCAGGAGGTTTAGAGCGGACAATAAAAGGAAGGAAACCTCATCCCAGATCAGTCTGAAGGAAATCTACAGAATCTTGAGTCACCAATGTCGATATTAACCTATTGTGGAGACAGACATGTTATCTCAGCAGGTCTGGTGAGATTCTCCTGCTGTTTTTCTTTAGCCATAGTAATGGCCTCTTGAAGAGATTTGAACCTACCCAGATTCAGTATTTCCAACTTTCCTGAGAATGGAGTTCTCTCTCCTTCCCTCCACCATGCTGAGGATTACTCCCAGGAGCTGCTTTGCCACCTCCTCAGCCTCACAATCCACACCTGAGCCACTTCAATAGCCAAATAGACACACACACACACACACACACACACACACACACAAAATGAACTAAGAGTGGAAAAGATGCTACCCAGCATCCTCACACTATCAAAGCAAGGGTATAACGGCTTCCTTCTTACCTCTGGCTCATATTTATACACCTAAAGAAAGAATACCAATGATGAAATCCTCGCTCCTCTCTTTTGAGTCTGGTAACATTTTTTGAAGCCTCTACTGTCTCTTTAGCAAATTAAAAGTAGAACTACACTCTTCGCAGGAAAATTTGAGGTTAAAGGAAATTTAATGTACCGTAATACATGAACTGGAGTCTAATTTCAGTTACATAAAATATATGAAGAAATCATGGCTGGGTTAAATTAAAAGGCGGAACCAGCAGGTTGGGAATTCTAGAAGTCACAGTGGTCTGGCGCCACCTTGTGGGAGTCATCAACCAATGCTAGAGGGACTTTTAGCCTTGCAACACCCAACTTCCAGGCAAGGGGCAGGACTAAGGCCTCTTCTTTTCTCTGGGTTCCTTTTATTTAATTATTTCCAGGATATTGTGAAGAGAACAGGAGATGGCAATTAACTTGTCATTTTAGGGATAGGGAACTAAAAACTGAACATTAGTTATTGTCCTTGGCCAGAAGCAAGAAGAAACGCCCTTTGTTTCTCAGGACAGGAATTCCGGAGGATATTTCAGTTTCTTTTCCTAAATAAGCACCCATCCTTGGCAGTAGAACATGACCATGTGACTGGGACTTCAATCCAGACACTGACCCCTTCTAGTGAAGGACTTTAGGACTGGGACTCAGTTGTCATAGTGGGAAGGATAATGTTCATTTCCCAGTTTCACCCATCTCCTAAAAGATGTCAGAGTTCCCTCTTCAGAGTGGAGAATGTTAAATAGGACTTGATCAGAGGTCTGTTGAAGTCTACTAAGGGAAAGCTATTTTCTCCAGGCTTCTGAGAATGGAATCTACCTCTGACATAAACTACCAAACATGAGTTCATTCAGCTAGACCCCCTGGGAAGGCTGGTTCACCTGAAGTGATGCTAAAGAGGCTGCAGGAAATGATTATTTCCTTAGTAAGACCTTGTGCTTTTCCTTGCCACCTTCATGCAGTTTGTGTAGCTCATGGCGCTATGACCATGCAGCAGTGTTAAGCCTGACTCCTTTTTCTAACTTGGAAAAGAGCAACCTTTTTCTTCTTCCCTTCTCTCTTCCATTTCTTCTCTCTCTCTATCTGTCTCTCTCTCTCTCTGTGTCTCTCTGTCTCTCTCTCTCTGTCTCTCTGTCTCTCTCTCTCTCTCTCTCTCTCTCATTCTCAGGTAGGACCATTCAGCGAGTGATATTAAAGTGTTCTCAGATGTGAAAAGAGAAAGGCAAATAGGAAGAGACTCCATTTCAAAGCCTAGCTCACTAAGGACACCTGTTTTGCCTACAGGCAGTGTCCCTGAAGCCCATAAACAAATCCTCCTCTCCTCTGTGCCCACAGGTCTGTGTGGGCATGTAAAACCAGACCCTTTCTGGTTGGGGAACTGAAACTCAATCCGGTTGACATACATTCCTGTTGCTGCACTGTGACTTCTGGAGGGACTGTTGGGTAGGTACACCTGGGCTCACTAAAGTTTATGCATCATCCAAGAGGTAGACCAAAGGAAAGATTCTGGTTCAAGAGATAGATACTCTTTCCTACTCTAGTGAGTGAAATCAGAGTTTTGGGTAGTTAATCAGAGACAGGGACATCATGTTGCCTCTGACTCCTGTCTTAACTGTGTCCTATGAAGCCAAGGTTTCATTTCTGCTCCTCTCAACCTTGGAGTTCACAGTGGGCATCCTGGTCAATGCATTCATTGTCGCGGTGAACTTTTGGGACATGGTAAACGGGCAGCCATTGAACAACTGTGACCTTGTGATGGTGTGCCTCAGCATCTCACGGCTTTTCCTGCAGGGTCTCCTGCTCCTGGATGCCGTTCAGCTCAGCTGCTTCCAGCAGATGAAAGATCCACTGAGCCACAACTACCAAGCCATCCTCACCTTCTGGATGATCGCAAACCAAGTGAGCCTCTGGTTTGCCGCCTGCCTCAGCCTCCTCTACTGCTCCAAGATTGCCCGCTTTCATCACACCTCCATGCTCCACCTAGCAAGCTGGGTGTCCAGCAGATTTCGCCGGGTGCTTCTAGCTGCTCTTCTTTTCTCCTGCATCTGCACGGCCCTCTGTTTGTGGGACTTCTTCAGCGGATCTCACTTTACGGTTACGTCCGTGTTACCCACGAACAACACAGAATTTAATTTGAAAATTGCAAAACTCAATTTCTTTCACTCATTTATCTTCTGTAATGTGGGATCTATTCCCCCTTCTCTAGTTTTCCTGGTTTCCTCCGCAGTGCTGTTTACCTCCCTGGGAAGTCACGTGAAGGCCATGAAGTCCCGAACCAGAGATTCTCGTGACCCTGGCCTTGAGGCCCACATCAGAGCCATCATATTTCTGGTCTCCTTCCTGTGTTTCTATGCGCTATCATTCTGTGCTGCCTTGGTCTCGGTGCCCTTGCTGGTGCTAAGGCACAGTAAGGGAGGAGTGATGGTTTGTATCGGGATGATGGCGGCTTGCCCCTCCGGACATGCCGCTGTCCTCATATCAGGCAATGCTAAACTGAGGAGGGCCATAGAGACCATGCTGTTCTGGTTTCAAAGCAGCCAAGTGAGAAGAGTCCACAAGATGCCTCCCAGGATACTCCGATAAGTCATGAAATGGGCTCATCACAAATACACCTCTAATACTTCATGCAATTTTATAGTTTCTTCCAAAACACAGAACTGGAATTTTTTCTACTTGACCTAAATAAACACTTTAATATTGGAATAAATTAATTGAAACTCTGATCTAAGCAAATATAATAGTGTTAGCTTCTTAGACATGTTTAGTAAAATGAACAACAGCAACAACAAAAAGGCGAGGGAGTCACTGTGAGTCCTTTCCTCGCTGAAGCCCGTTATCGATTACTGTGCGCCCTAGGAAGCCTCTTCTGAAAGAATAGAAAACCTTAACGCACTAACGCACTTGCTAAGACTCTTGTTCAAAACAGGCACCAGAATCATACATGAAAATAATTACTACTATGGCAATCACTCAGTGCTCTTTGAATCCCGACGTTTCCGTGGAAACATGAGGTAAGAAAAAGAAAAATTTGGAGAAACAGGTATGCCGTAACTTCAACTTCAAATGGGTACTGCATAAAACAGCGAATGAAAGCCGTGACTAGCGTTCACTTTGCAGATATGTTGAATCCAAAGTGTACTTCTGCCTACTGGACAGAGGGAAAAGAGGTGAGGTCGCACTGGCTCTGCCGGTGTCCGGATTTGGGAACCGCTACTGCACCTGCTGACTCTACCCAGTCACCGTTTTCTAGGGGAAGCAGCCTTGCAGAAAAGCACAGCTATAAGGCAGCTGTGTGCAGACCAAGACTTCCAGAGAGGAAATTCTAGGCCAGGTATTTAAATCCTTCAAAGGTGTCAGTCCACAGGTCTCCCAGGAAGGAAGGCTTTTCCTTCTGTGTGGATACTGTTAAAAAGAAATTTCTCTTCTCAGGCCTCTGTTTCTGATGGATGTAATTCTTACGTTTTTCCAAGCAAGCAAGCCTTTCTTCAGCTCCAATGATGACAAACTTTGTGTCTTTCCTTGGTGGAGTGGACATCTTTACATCTTTTAAAGTTTCCTTCAGAAACGCTGATCCTAACTCATGATTCCAAGTATTTAAAAAAAAAATATTGCCACACTTCAGGCCAACAAACTGAAATGTTTGGAGATGGATCCAGATGTCATCTTTCCAGAGCTCCCTCAGTGATTAGAATGTGACTAGTATCAAGAAACACTATTCTGGATATCCTACTATCTGAGCTGGATAATGTGACTCCCCCAAATTACATCATTGCCTTTGACCCCGTTTCCCCCTACGGTACTCGTGGATATTGTCGGAAAGGGAACAAGCAAAGGCTGTTCTTCCTTATTGTTCCTTCTCTTTATCTGAGTATCCGCTAAGTGAGTCTCCTTTACTTCGTATTATTCTCTGTGAATTTTTAAAGACCTCCCTTTGGAGTGGTTTAAGGCCACAAAAAAAACACATAGCTGAAATTATACAGTGTAGGCTTTTGGGGCTGGCGATTTTTATTTAGTATCCCACATCTAAGGTCTCCCTGTCTTACTAAAGGTTGACAGCTTATTTCTTTCTGTGCTAATTCATATCCTGTGGTCTGGACGCCGCACTTGTCCCATCCGCTCACTAGAGAGCAGCTCAGCTGTTTCTGGGGAACACTGCTCAGAACATCTGTGGGCAGATTTAAATAAATTTCAGTGACGTCAAACTCCGGATCACCTGATAAGAATATGCTTAATTTTATGAGGGACTACGAAGTGTGTCCTTCAAAGTGGCTCAGTGTTTGGCTTCGCCAGCATTGTGAGTGACGAGCTTCTGCAGGCCTTTGGTTCTGTTCCTGCTCTGGATTCGAGCATTAGGCAGCTATGCTCCAGATCTTATTGTTTTCTTTGTTGCTTCCCTGAAAATACAAGGTGTTGGTCTCGTGTGGTTGTTTTCACACAAAGTATTTTTTATCATATTCCTGAAGCTCATCCATAATATTATGTGAATCCAATTTATCTTTCATTTAAATTGTTTTTATAGTCAATACATTTTGATCATACTCTTTCCCTTCCCTTGCTCCTTCCAGATCCTCCCCACCTCCTTGCCCACCCATCTTCACACTTTCTCTTTCACACTTTCTCAAGAAGAACCATAAATAAAAGGCCAAAAAAAAAGGTTAAAACAAGCAAAACCAATAAGACAAAAAGTACCAAACACCAACTTACTGTTCCACTATAATTGATGTTGCACTGGTTATAGTTAGCAGAGTTCATGGAGAAAGTTTCTACAAGTGTAGAAAAAAACGTTGCTTGAATGCATCTTTTTGGGGGCACAGCTTTTATATCTCTTACGTAAATACCTAGAGTGAAGTTGCTGTGTCAAAAAGTTGGTGCTTAGCAGGGCGGTGGTGGCGCACGCTTTTAATCCCAGCACTCGGGAGGCAGAGGCAGGCGGATCTCTGTGAGTTTGAGGCCAGTCTGGTCTACAAGAGCTAGTTCCAGAACAGGAACCAAAAAGCTACGGAGAAACCCTGTCTTGAAAAATAAAAATAAATAAATAAATAAATAAAAGTTGGTGCTTATTTAACTTGGGAAGAAATTGCTCAAGTCTTCAGAAGTGAGCCTGACATGCTACCATGCCCACCACGATATGGGGAAGTCATTCCATACTCTTGCCAACAGCAATGTTCTACACCCTCTCAGTTTGGGTCATTGAGGCGAGAGTGAAATGGCTTTAATTAGCCTTTCTCTGACAACTGCCAGCATGGAGCACATTTCCATGTATTTCTTGGCCAGCTTTTTATGCATTTTCTACTATAAACTACTTGCACATTTTATACAAAGCTCTCTTTTGTTACTGATTTTAGAACTTTATAAATTTAGAAATTTTGAGCATTTTATATGTGTGTGTATATAGCTATACAACTCATACATATAAATGCGATACACATAAAATTTATAATGCTTAAGAGTTCCTTTTTATATTTAAATTTTTTATATGTCTACATAAATTATACACTTGCTTCATATTTGTATATATGTATAAATGTTTTTGCATTCACATATATATATTCCAGAAAACATTCATGTGCCTGATACATAGTGACTATTATAACACAAACTTTGATTTATCTTTTCATTCTCTAGATCATATACTTATAAGCAGAAATTCTAGGTTTTGATACAGTCCAATTTTTATATTTAATATTTGTGCTTTTTGTATTTCCTCTAAGACATATGTACTTACCTCTAAAAGACTTTCTTGGTCTTCTCTAAAGTTTTAGTAGTTTTTATTATTAATTTTAAGACTGAAATTCCTGTTTAATTAATTTTAAAATTTTCATCATGCTGTAATTTATTGAAGGAGCTGCTGAAGTTTCTTTGCATTCCATTCATGTGGCTCAGTATCACTTATCAAAGATTTCATTAAACCAACTCTAATGGTTACATGTATGTGTGTGCATATACATACATATATGTGCATGTATATTATATATGTGTGTATATATGCATATATTTATACACACAGCTCTTACTGGGTTTGTGGATGCTATTTACTATATCTAGATGTCAACTTGGAAAGAATTCACATCATAAAAATTGTTTGGTCTGACCAGGTGAATGAATGAATCCCTTTCTTTATTTAAATCTTTAATTTCTTTCAATGTTTTATAGTTCTTAGTAAAATTGCTTATAAAAGTATAACTAAATATTTCATAGTTAATTTATATAGAATCATAAAAATTTCTTTTTGTTTATTTTCTACATCATATAAAACCACTATATTTTACATTTATCATGTATTTTATAGATTTCCTAAATTAAGGAAGTGCCATTTTCTATGTCTTTAATCTCATTGTTAAATATTTTGACATCATTCCTGCATTAGGATTTTAATGTGTCATTTATTTTTTTTCTTTGTGTCTTCTTTGTTTTTATTTATTCCATCAAGAGCAGGCATTTACAGTTGGTAACGTCTTATCTCCCATTCTGTGAGTCTCCTCTTCACTTGAACATTTGTTTGATTAATTGTACAGAAGCATTTCAGTTTTATGGGGTCCCAGTTATCTATTGCTCACCTTAATTTCCAAGGCAAATTGAGTACTGTTGAGAAAATCCTTTTATACACTTAAATCTTGTGGGTCACTGTCTATGGGAATGACCTAAATGTCCTTCAGCAAAAGAATAGACAATGAAAATGTGGTACATATGCACAAGGGCATACTATTCAACGCTGAGGAAAAATGAACTCATTAAATCTTCAAGCAAATGGATGGGTCTGAAAGAGATTACGTGAGGTGAGGCAATCCAGACACAGAAAGACAAACACCACATGTTTTCTTTCATCTGTGGTCCTTAGTTCTAAACCCTCAGATATAAGTACTGCTGTACCACCATCACCCATCAAAGAAACCTCTCTTTTCGACAAATGGAAACTATCACAGAAAACCACAGCTAGACACAAGGAAGAGATCAATGACTCCTAAGGAGCTCAGACCCAAATGATGCATCTACATCATCAGAAGGGGTGAAAAGATTGGAAGCCAGAATACTAGGAAGTCTACAGTGAAACAGTCTCTCCTAGAAATGGCTGAACAGACAAGACTGAGCAAAGGCAATATCAATGGACATATTAATGTGGGAAGAAGACATTTTCAAGGAGTCCTACCACTAGGCAAAGAACTGGCAACACTAATGACTGCTGGGAGGAGAACTAACCTCTCTCGGGGGTGAGCACTCTCAACGTTTATTCAATACAGAGTGGTTATCCCTTAAACCACATACACACAGAGAAGAACTGTTGTATTCACATATTTTTACACACATATACATGCATACACGTTTACGTTTGTCACTATAATAACCAAAAAACAGAGGTAATTAATTTGAGATTGGGTGGGGTGTGGAAGGAATTGGAAGGAAGGTTCCTGGAATGGGCTAGAGGAAGGAAAGGGATGGAGAAAAGTAGTGAACTTCTATTTCAATGAAAAATACTAAAATATAAAATGTAATAAATAATTTTTCAAATTGTGCACAGTCATCTTGCAGAAGGATAGTAATAGTGGCCCCATTCCTCATCTGTGCCCTTTTTGTTATATATTTCT